AGTAGATGCATTGCGAATTCATCTGCGCAGTTCACGCTGTGTGATCCTGAAAGCATTTTGTATAGACTATTACGCTTCCGTGATACATTCACCTCCATCCCGGTTAAACTCACAATTCGTTTAAGATGATTGCAACCCTCTCGTCCAATCGATGGATGAAATTACTGCCCACGAATCCAAGAAGGATTCCTCAACCGCATTTTGAATAAATTTCTTATTACGATGTACTGTGTTTAGTTGTGGCAGTCAAGCCGTCTAAGTTGTCCCTTTTTCCCACACTTTGTGGCCTCGAATCCCAGTCGCGTATACCATCACCACCACCAGCCAATTTTGGTGATAAGCAGCTTCACTAACATATGGTTCAGTACCACGCTAACCCTAGAGGGGCCCCACGTGGTTCTTTGAACCAAAATACCTCGGTTAAAGTTGCCGGTTTTCGTTGCAAGAAAAGAGACTTTCGTGGATGTGGGGTAAATCGCGTACGCTGTTCGTCACACAGTACGGTGTAATAACACCTGGACACAATTCACAAAGAAAAGCGGATTGATTGTTTGACCCATCGTATTTTGTTCCGAATGTGCTCTGTGGGACTGATCAGATGAAGGAGAGCCTACCAGACAAACGTTTTACATCTGGCATCCCGACTCACTTCCATTTCCATTAATCGCTTTTCCCGTTTTTTTTCTTTTAACTTGCATTTGACCTCACTCTCGCTTTCTGGGGGTCACAGGCTGTATTTTTCACAGATTTCATCAAAAATCCTTCAACCAGATCACCACTTTCACCCAGATTCTTTTTGCATGTATCTGCTTGATTTGTGAAGCTCTCAAAACCATACAACAAGGTGTTCTTTTGCCCAAAATGCTGATATCAGTAATTGTCTTTGGATCACAACAACCTGTTCAACTCTTGAACGCACTAAAGCTCATAAGCGTCTCATTGTCCCTCATTGAACCAGATTTCTTATAAACTCAGAACTGTAGTTGGATCGGATATGAGCATAATATTATGCTACACCTATTTTATTTGATGCTGTACCTTTGCAAGTGCCTTTTCATTAACTGCGGCCACTATGGTGTATGATTCGTGAACATCGTCTGTCTCCCGTGCCTCTCGAAAAATGCTTCCACTTGTTTGAAATTGGCATTGTGTACAGACTGATCATTTCAAGTAACCCCTCTGTGATGATACGTGTTTGCCCATGACGCATAAATTGATCATATTCAACAAAGGACTGCTCCCAAGATTTCCGTTCGGCTTCAGCAAATTGAATGTGATCAACAAGGTTCACTTGTACAGTCCTACCCCCTCCCACGGCCCTTCACTTCCATTCACGCTCTCAAACATATGAAGGTTTTAATAAAACGATATCCAGATTGTTTCGATTTCGATATTCAAATTCGAATAGAATTCATGGTCACATGCATTTTCTGGATAGGAGATACACACAGGTTGCTAATTGGTTGATACAAATTTGAATTTCATGCTACTTATGCCAGGAAGCTAAATCATTTATTGTTCAAATCTCTACCATCTTCACTACACAAAAGATACTATCAATATTTTGCGGTTAGTGCCAGAAAAATTAAACTTCACAGATTGCATATAAAATTCTGGATTATTCGCATAACAAATATCATAAAAATACCGATACATGAAAAATATTGTTAATCCACATAGAATCGGGGGTTCAAATGGATGGGGTGTCTATTTGGTGGAGCGGGAATTAGATGCTTAGAGGTGGGAGGTGGGCGATGGGACTGAGGCTGGAGAGGCTGAGGTGAGCGAGAGAGAGATATGGTGGCACGATGAATCTGGAATGTTGTCCTCCTTTCTACTCGACAGAACACAACACATCATAAGTTCGTAACTTTCGTTCTACACCATCAATGAGGAAGATAGCGCCTCGTCTGGATGATTGAACAAATCCGGCATACCATTTGTGATTGACTATGATTCGGGCAATATACAATGGTTCCATCCATTCGGTGATTCCGGCCTGGATCGCTGTCGAGGGCACTTTTCCTCTGGACCCCGGAAGCCATTCACAAGGTGGACTAATTCGGGATGTGAAGGGTGGGGGATAGCAAACAGATGCGGAAACAGAGTTGGAGTTATGTGATAACAATTTTGCATTGCTCAAGCAATACTGTTTGTCTTTTGATAATAGGAGTAGTGATTAGTAAAACGAACACCCAGGACAACATTCATTTTGTTCTTTTGACCACCGATGAATCAAGCGCTTTTGGATTTCTATGATCAGGCAAACAACTTTCACGTTTGATTGTCAAAGAGTCAATACAATCTTTGAAAACTGCTGTTTTGTAATGACAACCAATCGGAAGAAGGAAAACAAAGGTGAACTGATTCGTCGAAACTGACAAGCAATGAAATTGATTGACAATGATCTAGTCAGCCAGTCGTTTTGTATATGCATTTCCACATCTGGCTTTGTCCCTATAAATAAGTATGCTTTGTGTACAGTAAATGAATGTCTACTCGCTTTGAGGTGTGTTGTAGTTCGATATTTTTCTGGACTTATTTGGACGAGAAACGCTGTGAGACGATTACTTTTTCTCCAATTCATCTCTATATTCAACTCCGTCTGTGTTCACAATAGTTGCTTTCTGAGGTTTATTCTCGAATCGTAAAGCTGCAGGCTTGGTTAAAGACCTTCTACCATTCTATTTGTCCATTCACTTTGACGCCAATCCACCCCTAATATTCTATATTCGTTATGAAGAACAGAGCGGTTGCCTCCCTGAGCATATTCCGTTGTTTTTTTACTACGAAACATGCGTTGTCAAGCTCGCCCAACCTCATTCTATTTTACTTTCATTGCCTCATCAGACCCGATCATAGGCGTTCGATCACTCTTATCAAGGGACTGAAAATAAACCGGTCAAACGACGGCTTTCAAATTCGTTTTTTAACTGAAAATCACAAAATCAGTCTTCCTATAATTGGCCCAACATTCAGTTGTTATATGAAAATGTTCAATTCAGCTTGCAGTTGTATTACATTTCTAATCTAGGTCACGCGTGATGTTTCGAACACAGGGTTGTAAACTCACCATATGTACGTTACCCTATGCATGTGCATACTTCCAATGATTGCATTGGCCTCAACAGCACATTTAAAAGAGCAATACTAATTAAGTAGATCGAATATTCTCACGATATTGATCTGACGTTATCAGTTTGGTCATAGTGAATCATGAGAAACAAAGAAAGCACTCAGTTATTGTGAATGTTATAGTGTTAATAACACAGCCATGTCGGTAGAGAATTATATTCACCGACGTTTTCGGTTACCGTGGGTAACCTTTCTCAAGGCAGGTTTTTACAATCAAAATCAACCGACATCGCTGTGTTATTAGCACTATAACGATCACAATAAAGCAACACATGGCGCATCGATTTTTCGATACACTCCTAGCATCATTTGGTCACGATGTGTTAATAAAGCACTCAGTTCTCTGAATCGGGCATCATAAATTGAATACCTCTCTCAAGAGAAAGTTATAACTTCCAACTGTCACAGTGACATGATACCACATTTAAATAAATTGCGAACTTTTCGTGTGATCGCCAAAACATTTCCGAGGCCAAGGTTGCTTAAATTTGTTGAGGCGGGTGTCGTTTGCCGTNAAGCCATGACCACGGTAGCCGCTTTGTTCCACCACCACAACGTCTTCTGTCCCTCATGTCACGCATTGTTGTAACATTTATTTTCGATAATTTGTCATTTTACTCAAATTATCCATTTTTTTATTCCGTATTACGTAACCATCTTCGTTTGTGGTTGACCGATTTCATCACGTTACTGTTTCCATGCGCACATCTTTTGTTCTGCTTCAGCCCAATCATATCTGCCCCTGTTCGATCATTCAACTTCAAATAACTTTGGAACGAGGGGTGACGAGCGACGAGCGAACAGTATTCACTTAATCGACTGTAGTAAGGAAATGTATAGTTTAGTATAGCAAAGTATAGCACAGTATAGTATTTTAGCAAGAATACAACCTATTTGGTGTGATTGGACAGCTGAATGAAGTGAAACTGGTCAATATCGATTCTACTCATGTTATTTTACTTATCTGGATCAACAGGGCAGTTTGTGTGCACGAGCGATTCGACTACATTGATTTAACAACAAAAAATTACAAACTCGATTCACACAGTTTGTTCATAATCCTTGATCGAATACCTTGTAGAGAGGGGGCAGAGAGAGACAGAGACAGTGCGAGCGACAGAAACATGCGGATAAACTGTACAACTGATCGGATTGACCAGACAGAGAGAAAGCACGGCCTTGTCACGTACCAAACACCGGCGCCGGTATATGATACTGTGGTACTGTTGAGAATATATCTTATTGATTCCGTAATGACTCAGGTCAATACGGCGTATTTCAATCAAGTGGACTAGTTTCAAACGCTTCAGCGAGAGATACTGGACGTGGCGGCCAAGGTTTTGCAGAACCTTTTTTGCTTAACCGTTTTGCTGCAACAGGGCACGAACGCACGCACATGGTCCAAAGGATTCCGCCCCGGGGTGTGGGCAGCGTCGAGCAAATATTCACTCTACCTCGACTCTCGGAACATTGCCAGGAGTTTCAATAACCCACAGCAGTCTGCCTCATTGGTTTTCGTGCGGCATTCGACTCCGGAAAATAGTTCTGGCCGATGGTGTCCCAGTTAAACCTGTCAACTTAATGAGATCCTACTATTATAACACTAATGCCCGAATCCGCATCTACGGAGAGGAGCCATGCGCGCTCGGGTTAGGACCTGGAGTGAAATTAGCCTCAAGACAAAAATCCGAGTTTTCTCCACAGCAGTCCGTCCTGCTATATGGCTGTGAAACCTGGCCACCTGGAGTGGAAGACTGTCGCATTTTAGAAGTCTTCGGTCACTAGTTCTTAAGAACCATTCTGAGTACGATGAAGGGATCAACTCTCAAATGAAGTGGTCAGAAATCGGTGTTTTGATCTTGTGGACGCTAAAACACCGGCGGCGTCTATAATGGTTAGTCACATTCTTCATGAGTCTGATAACAACCTGACCAAAGCTGTCTTAACACCGCCTCCCTGCTCGAACTGGGGCTGTCGAAACGGTGGGCAGCTGAACACCTGGCTTGATACGGTAGGAAAGGATATTGAGAACCTTGGTCTCCACCTACGGCGTTCGCCAATGGAAGTCAAGATGGACCACAATCTGCACTGGTATTGCCGCAGATCGCCGAGTGTGGGCATCGAAAATTCGGGATATCCATGAAGCCGGCTGATCCGCTCTTGGGGACCAGTCGCCGTAAAGTTTAGCAAACGAGAGATAATGTGCACCCAGGTTGTTTTGTAATCAGTTGCTCCAGATTAGGTGCTCGTGCAACTCGCGGATAGATAGAGCTTGTTTCATCCGATCAAAAGAATTCATGGATTCACGGATAGTATTGCCCATAAGTTGCTTACAGACTGTCGGTTTTCGTGTACCCACGTGGTCAGAATCGGGGCGATTGACCTTCAGTATAAGCCTCCATTATCATACGCCATACATCAACCTCATTGTCCCTCCTTCATCAAGGAGGATGGAACCAAAACTGGAACCTCAACACCAAGCAAACTTTTAAAAAACATTCCATATTCTCTGGGTCTCTTGACCCCAGCGAGGGGAGCGGATCTTTAAACACATTCTCTCTAAAGTATATGATATTGGTCCGAGGGGAATTTTTCATTTGTGCACTTATTTCTTTAGTAAAATCCCATCGATTGGTAGTATTCAGCTCTACAACATTTACAGCTGACGATCCCGTCACCAGCCACTTGTAGCCAATGTATTCTGTTGACGTAACTACTATCATCACCTTGGATTTGATTTCCACCTTTCTGATTGTAAATTACGAACACAAGTGCCCATGAGTTCTGCATGCAAGAATTATGCTTGTTTTGGTTTTATAGCTTATAGTCAACAGCTGAAACAGCACTGGTTTTCATTTACGTGGTCTATGCGATTCAATATCTGATTTATGGTTTGTCCATTTTCGATGCTATCCACGACCTTAGCTGAATGTCCTTGGAACTAGTGCGCTGGATTCTACCAGTGGAGATCAGCAGCTTATCGAATGTGTTCTTTACACGATTCAACGATGTACAAGCCAGTATACGTAAAACGAATTCCGGTCACTTGATTGCCTAGTATGTTAGCACGCATAAACAAGTACATTAACCCATTTGGTAGTCGTGACTCATCCAATTCATTCACCGCCCGCACTATTTCTGTTTGACTTCGGAAACAGGGCCATTTCTCGGGCGAGGAGAGCGACATCGATTTACTCCCAGGTGGCAGACTGTGTGAGCTAGAGTATGCAGACGCCATTATGCTACCAAGTAAAGATCCAGGTAAGTTGTAAGCATTTCTGGATAGTTTGAGTGCTGGTGTAGCCATGTTTGGTATGCGTTTTGCACCTTCAAAGTGTAAAATTTCGCTACAAGACTGGGTTGGCCCAGCACCCACCCTCACTCTAACTGGGGAAGTATTAGAGCAGGTGGATAAGTTTTGTTACTTGGGCAGCTACATCTCACCCGGTGGGCGAATCACGGATGAAGTGTCAGCTCGCATACAGAAGGCTCAGTTGGCATATGCCAACTTGAGACATTTCTGAGGCCGTCGTGGCATCCGGCTGTCTGTGAAGAGCCGAGTCTATGCCGCAATAGTTCGGCTAATTCTGCTATACGGCGCAGAAATTTAGCCATTAAGGGAGCAGGATAAAGATAGACCGTCGGTGTTTGAAAACCGCCATCTACGCAGTATTACA